GCTGGGGATAAGTACATCGCCGCTATGTATTGGTCCTTCGCGACGATGACTACGGTGGGCTATGGTGATATATATCCGGTCAACTCGAGAGAACAAGTTTTTGGAGTGGTCACTATGTTGTTGGCATGCGGTGTTTTCGCATTCTTTGTGGGGGCGATCGGTTCGGTCGTGAGGAAACTGGACGCGAACGCTGCAGCTTTTCGCATGAAGAAAAAGGCTGTGAATCAGTACTTCAGACAACGACGTTTGCCGAAACCGTTGCAAGTAAGAGTACGACGATATTTGGAATTCGTGTGGGAATATGGCAAAGATGTAACTTCGGATGAAACCGAGGTGATGAGTATCCTAAGTCCACCCTTACGAACAGAGGTGATGCTCCATCTGGTCGGCGGTGTGATTCGCTCCGCACCGTTTTTTGCAAATGTTCCGTTGTCCATGCTGAAGAAGATCTGTCAAGTAGTGACTCGGGAAACGCACGCTCCAGGTGATATCATTTTTGAGGAAGGAGAATGGGCGAGTTCTATGTACTTTATTATCAAGGGCAAGGTCAAACTAGTGTCGAGGTCACACGCAGGAGCTACGATTGGGTACCTCTCGGAAGGCGGTTACTTCGGGGAAGTGGCTTTGTTTATGGAAACGTCTCGATCGGTCTCGGCCAAGTGTTTGTCATTCTGCGATACTATATGTTTGAGTCGACAGAGTCTGGTGGACCTGTTGGTGATCTATCCAAAGTTCCGAGATAAATATGATGCCCTGTGTCGAGAGGTTCTGAGTGGGGACGTACGAGGACTGTGCTTACAGTGCATACACTGTGGGAAAAGCGGCCATCTCAGCGATATGTAATACTCATTAGTGATTGCTCTATTGATATTCACATTGGAGTTTCACCAGTGAAGTGCAAACATCTTTCACGACTATTGCATAGCGCGAATTCCGGAGTATTACGCCACTTCGCGTAAAACGGGTGAGACTCCAATATAAGCAATTGGTATCATAAATGGTATAGTATACTCACAAAGAATGGAGTTTCATCCGTCTTACG